TGCTGGAGTTTCTGTTTGTTCTTCTGTGTCTGTTTGTTTATATAAAAATTATATAAATAGTTTAATAAGCAAAGCCCCAATGCATGCACTAACACTAACAAATCCTAAAACAAAGCATCAAGGGTTTTTTTCTTTTTTTTTTTTGTCTCCTTCTCTTCCTTTTCTGCTGCCGCTTAGCTCACCCCAAGAGGAGACAAGCATAGAAAGAGCAGCAGCAACAGCAGCAGCAGCAGCAGCAACTGCAGCAGCAGCTTTGAGATACCCAATCGATACCCACAGCAGCAAAACCACAACAGTCACAGCAGCAGCAACACCAGCAGCAGCAGCAGCAGATCCCGCTGCTGCTGCTGCTGCTGCTGCAGCAACGCCCTCAGACGTCACCCCACACACATACGCAGCAGCAAACAGCAGCAGCAGCAGCAGCAGCAGCAGCAGCAGCAGCAGCAGCAGCAGCAATATTTCGCGTTCATTTTCTGCAGCAACAGATGTGGCGGCATCTTCATATACCTCCCCATCAGCAGCAGCAGCAGCAGCAGCAGCAGCAGCAACAGCAGCAGCAAGACGAGCAGCAGAACAACTGTCTCCTTTCAGCAGCACAGGGTTTGAACATAGAGGCTTTGGCGTCTCCTTCGGTCTGCTGCGGGGCCTCGACGAAGCAGCAGCAATGCATGCGCATGCGCTGCTGCTGTGGGGCGAGAGAAAGCCCCAAACTCGCATGCATGCACACACACACACACAGTGCATGCACCCCAGCAGCAGCAGCAGCAGCAGCAGCAGCAGCAACAGTAGCAGCAGCTGCAGCAGCACCAGCAGCAGCAGCAGCAGCAGCTGCTTCTGCTGCTGCAGCAGCAGCAGCAGCAGCAGCAGCAGCACAGCAAAACAGGTGCATGCATTAGCTTCTTCTCGTGCTGCTGCTCTCGATATATATGAGAGGAGAAGATATAAGGTTTTGGTTTGTCTTTATAAACAAATTGGCGTTGCTGGCGTTCTGCTGCTGCAGCAGCAGCTGTTTCTATCGCCAGCAGCAGCAACACACATACGCACAACGCAGCAGCAGCAGCAGCAGCAGCAGCAGCAGCAGCGGCAGCAGCAGCAGCAGCGGCAGCAGCTGCAGCAGACAATGCAGCAGCAGCAGCTGCTGCTGCAGCAGAAACAGCAGCAAAATCGACTGCTGCAGCAGCAGCAACAGCAGCAGCTGCCTCAGCAGCAGCTCTTCGGCGCTCAGGGGAGTCCTGCTGCTGCAGCAAACAGCAGCAGCAGCGCAGCAGACAGCAGCAGCAGCAGCAGCAGCAGCACAGCAGACAGCAGCAGCAGCAGCAGCTTTCCGTCTGTCTCCTTTGGGTTTAATAGCAGCGAAGCTGCGGAGACACCCCAGAGCTGCATGTACACCCCAGGACAGCAGCTGCAGCAGCTGCAGCAGCAGCAGCAGCAGCAGCAGCAGCAGCAGCAGCACTCCCCTACCTCTATCATTAACCATCATGAAGCTCCTCAGCAGCAAACGCAGCAGCAGCAGCAGCAGCAGCAGCAGCAGCACCAGCAGCAGCAGCAGCAGCAGCAGGAGACGGTCTCTGTTCCTTTCCAGTACGTTCCTCCGTCTGCTGCTCCCACAGCAGCAGCAGCCACAGCAGCAGCAGCAGCTGCAGCAGCTCCTGCTGCAGAAGCAGCTCCTGCTGCAGCAGCAGCTCCTGCAGCAGCAGCAGCAGAACGTCTGC